AATACAGGCATTTTAGGAATTATTAAAAATAGTTATTAAAATGACTGCATTTATTTAGTTTCAAGGATAATTACACTTTTCAGAGAAAAAATTATACTTTTGCAAGAGTCATAAATTGCTCCCAAAAACCATTTTAGGGGAGTGTATATATATATATATATATATATGTATACATATATATATATATATGTATACATATATATATATATATATATATATATATATATATATATATATATATATATATATATATATATATATATATATATATATATATGTATATATATATATATATATATATATATAAATATATATATATATACATATAGTCTTAGTTGTTGAGGTTGCATAATTCTTGTTAAAAGAGACTTTTTTTTTACCATAAAAGTCTTTTTCAACTATGAGATAAGGATACATACATATATATATATATATATATATATATATATATATATATATATATATCAGGCTTTGCGATAAAGCGTCGGGCGATGTGAGTTTTAGGTCGTTTAAGAGCGATTTTGCGTGTAGCTAGGGCTATTTGCATCGAGCAAAAAAATTTTTGTTTGAGTATATCTTAAGATATTTTTGAGCGGAATTTTAATGAAGTAGTTCACGATTATTTTAACGTTAAATAAAGTATTTTAAAAACTGCACGCAGTTGATATAAAAGTTTGAATTGCAAAAAAATTAAATATGCTCATTATTTACAAGTAGAAAAAATTTAGATTAAAAAAAACGTTTAAATCTTTTTAAGCTAACATTTTAATAAAATTATTCAGCAATAGCAAAGTTGTCGATAAAATTGAACAAAAATACTTTCTTTTAGTTTTAGATTTTTAACTTAAATAATTATTTTACGGGGGTTTGGTAGGTTTTAAAATTATTCCATAGATTTAATATTTATTAACTGATAGACGTATTTGAAGTATTTAAGAGTAATTTCGAGGAAACATTTTGAAAATTGGTAAGCGCAAATAAAAAAAATAAAAGGATTAATATTAAAATGTATTCTACTTGATTCAATAAAAAAGTACAGTTATTAAAATTTTTGTAAAAAGAAACTAAAAAAAAATTACTTAAATAATAAAATTCGCTTCTTTGTTAAAAGTTACCGAAACTCAAAGAAGCGTGCTCAATTCTAACATTTTATTTTATTTTATTTTACTAGAAATAAAATTCTTTTTAAACATTAAAAATCTATTTAAAACGTTTGTTAAAGTTTTTTATGAAAATAAATAAAAATAAATAAATAAAAAAATATTATATAAAATCGCTAGTAAAAATATTAGCTATTGCACAGTTTTTATTCGTACAATATTAAAATTTCCATTTTATTACTCGCTGACTTTTTAAAAAGAAAAAATAATTATTTGAAAAACTTTAAATTACATATTTGAGAAAAAAAAAAAATCAAATATTAGCATATTTTATAATCTTTTTTAAATGTTTAGTTATAATGTTTTTTAATTGTTTAGTATAGACAAAACGTGTCAAATGTTGAGAAAATAAACAAATGTTTTTACATTTTAAAAAACGAAACATTCCAAAACATTTTTAAACAATAACAGTTCTACATTAATGATTTAAAGTAGGGATGTACCGAAGCTAAAATTTTGCCGAAGCCGAAGCTTCGGCCGAAGCCACTTTGCCGAAGCCGAAGCTTCGGCACTATATATGCTTAAAATTTAATCAGCATTCAAATCAGCAGGGGTGTAAAACAAAAAAGGTTCCAAAACTAAGATCCTTGACTAATAATATAGAAAAAATGTATAAAAATGAGGACACAAGTCAGGGTTGCTGCCCCAGGCAGGGCAAAAGCTATCAGCGCCCCTGTTTGAAAGTTTCTCATTATGTCGTTTCTGATACTTCACCGCACCTAGTTTTTTTTTTTTTAAACTTAAGCTTTTTTGAAACATTCTCCCCAAATTTTCCTACTTCTAGTTCTACTTTTTCTGTGTACAAACCATATTAATGTTATATAGAGCACAATATCAGTAACTCACATATATTTCCAACTATTCTCAATATTTTTCTAAAATCATTGCTATTTTTTTGATCTTTTATAGCCATACTGTTCTTCTATGTAAACATCGTTTCTCTTTAATCCTCTATCTAATCATCTAATTTTTAATCCTCTATTTAATCATCTTGTTTGCTCTATCTAATTATAGTGTGCTAGCTGAACATCCTCAAATTTTATTCCCCATAAATTACTGTTACGCATCTTTTCATGTGCTGTATATTTTATTTTTATTTTTAATGCACCTTTTGTTAAGAGTGGATAAAAATCTCTAAATATTACTCAAGTAAATTAATCTTTTACACTTGAACACTCTTTCTCTAAATAAACACTCTTAGCTGATCTAGTTGTATCTACAACATAAAAAATCTTACAAACACACTTTATCTTTTTATTGCTATTTATTTCAATATCTTTTTTTTGCTTCTCTGTATTCATTAAACGAACAATTTCTAAACTAAAAAAAACCCCAAGTTAAGACCATTTTGTATTCCACTACAACTGTTGTGAACCTGCTGCTAAAAAAAAGTACAATTGATAGATTTCTCTCTAACTTCTTTTTTACACACTTTTAAGTTGTTTTTTTTTTTATTATTATTATTTTTAATTTTACACTACATAACATTTTCTTAAGCCTCTATTAATCTTTTACACTCTGAAATTATAGTATTCATTCTTCTTCTGTCTCTGTAATGGATAAATCTGCATCAGTATCTGAAATCAAATATTAACTATCTGTTACAAAAACTTCTATAGTAATCTAACAACTCAGTAGAGTGAGCTTTAAATAAAACAATAAATAGAATACTTTATAAATTTTTCATTTATATTTATATTATTATTTATTTTATATTTATAAATAAACAGGGACTGAGCAGGCTGATATTTATTTGATTTAAATTGTTTATTTAATTTAAATAAATTTTGATGATAAATATAAGAGCTCAAAGTAATCAAAGCTTTAACCTTTAATTTATTTTAAATAAAATTTAAATTCTTCATATCATAAGAAGAAATCAGAATATAAGTTTATGTGTTTAATATATAAATTTAATTTAGAAGTATTCATAATATTAATAAAAGAGCAAGGATAATTATTATCATTGTTTTTCTTTTTCTTTTAATTTATATAGTTTTGGTTGACTTTTTTTTTCTTTTTTTATTCTCCTCATTTATATTTCATTTGCTTTTCTTCCTTTTTTGTTGTTGAGAACTTTATGTTTTTTATGTGTCACTCCATTGACTAGTTTGTAACTTTATAAGTGACACCTAACTAATTTCTGTAATCTTACGATGAAAATTTGTAAATTTTTATTATTATGGTTAAATAAAATTTAAAAAAATTAAACATACACAGAATTTAAAATAGTAGCAACGTATCTTTAATCTTCTTTAAAGTGAGATTACTAAGGTTTATAGGTCAAATGTTGAAACCAATTTTTGTTCTATTTGCGGTAATCCCACACAAAAATTAATATAAATTCGTTACATAATACAAATTAAGGTTTTTTTTCCATTTCATTTTTAAAAAGTTTTAATTTGTTTTAAATTATAAGGTTTTTATTCTGCATAAAAATGCTGATTCAGTTCATCTAAGTCACACTTGGAAGCCTTCAAAGTGTATGAGGACCTTCCTTAATTTTACTATTATATTCAAAATAATTCTACTTATTTATTATCATCCCCTCCATAACAAGACATTTGGGAGTAAACAATACTAAGTATATGGTATAGACTCCAACTTTAACTCTGTAGTCCTGAATTTACAACTTAATTAGACACTGGCAATTAGCATATTTTTATAACTTGTACAACAGTAGCTTATAACTTTAATTACTTAAAATTTTTGCCGAAGCCAAAGATTTGGCAAAAAATTGACCTGGCTTCGGCCGAACCGAAGCTTCGGCAAAATTGCCGAAGCTTCGGCATGCCGAAGCCGAAGCTTCGGTACATCCCTAATTTAAAGTAGTTTTGTGGTAGTTAAGTAAATTGGTGCAGTTAATGTCAATAAATATGAGAAGCAAATAAAAAGAATTTTAGGAGGTCAAAAATCACGTCGTGCTTATGCGTCGCACAGTTTTTATTCATTGCTAGGCCTGTATATATATATAATTTAATTAATTTGATTCTTATTTCATTTAAATCTAATATGTTGTCTTTATTTGTTTCTTATAATTTTATTTATTGAAAGTTTTAACCTGCATAATATTTATATTTTAAATTATTTCTTTGTTTTATTTTTTTACATTTAGGTTAAAAGTAAAATATTTACTGTATTAGGCATCCTATACTTTTTAACTAATTAAAAGCTAAGAAACATTAAAAATAAAACTATTTTTAGAAGCAGATAATATTTTTAATGAAAAATGAGCTCGTTTGTTGACCAAACTGGATAGCAACTCTTTTTGCATAACAATATTCCTAAACTTTTAGAAACCCTTACATTAGTGATTACTGCAAATAAAATTAGGCAAAGCTACAGTTAAGGGCAACAAGCGAAAAAATACAACTATTTAAGACCGCTAAACTGAAGCTTTACTTGAGATTACATTGTGTTTGTTACGAACTTTGTATTTTTTTAACTAGGTTTACCTATAGATCTTATTTTTTCCTATAGAACAATGATTGTTTGATTTAATGTTTACAGTCTTTGTCACTTTTCTTAAATAAAAAAAAAAGTATAAAAAAAATTCCAGCAGTCTTGCCTAAAATATTGTCATTCTGTCCAGAACCGTAATGAACTGAAAGTCACAAATTCCGGCCGGAACAGAAATCTGGTACAACTCGTTACAAGTACATTATTTTGTCATTTTTTTGAAAATATTTATATAATTTTCTGAGAAAATAATAAAAACTAAATTTATTATATATTAAAATTTAATTATGTTATTATTATTCATAAAAATTAGAATAATATTGTAAAAATATGATGATAATAGTTTATTTATTTTAAAAAAAAAACATAAAGAAAACTCACAGCAACAATATGAACATCTGGAAAGTTCTCTAAATTCAACCACTATAAAGTATAAAAAAATATTAAAACAAATGTATATATTTATATATATATATATATATATATATATATATATATATATATATATATATATATATATATATATATATATATATACAAATATATGTATACATATATATATGATTTGCATTGGGTTGGCAAAAGAAATTTGATACCAAGGTTTTACCATAGAAACAATTTTTTGTCCATATATATATATATATATATATATATATATATATATATATATATATATATATATATATATATATATATATATATATATATATATATATATATATATATATATATATATATATATATATATATATATATATATATATATATATATATATATATATATATATATATATATATATATATATATATATATATATATATATATATATATATATATATATATATATATATATATATATATATATATATATATATATGGTCAAAAAATTTTATATATGTTTTATGGTAAAACCTTGGTATCAAATTTCTTTTGCCAACCCAATGCAAATCATATATATATATATATATATATATATATATATATATATATATATATATATATATATATATATATATATAAATTCTATTATTTTAAATTATTTATTTTATATTATATTTCATTTTTAATTTCATTTATTTACAAAATCGATTAATTACAATAATATAACCAAATTTAAACCTTGCCGTAACCCTAACCCTAAGCCTGAACTTGTTGCCAGGCTAAAACCAAACCCTCAGCTGATATACCAACACTCTCTTGCGTCAGGCTATTTGATAGTCAATGTATGTACTTTTCATTCTTTATAAAAGTTTCTTATAAGTACGTTTTTTTACAAAAAAAATAATGCTTTCGAGGACAAAAAATTAACGGGTACACTAAAATGTCCCCGATAATGCTAATGTACCTGTAAGTGTTCATTTTTTTGTAAATTTTTTTCCTTAAGTGATAAAATATATCTAAATATATATAAATTTATATATATATATATATATATATATATATATATATATATATATATATATATATATATATTTAAACAATTTAAAATGTATTCTACAAAAAGAGTGCTCAATGTTCTTAAAAGAACAGAGCAATTATATATATATATATATATATATATATATAATATATATATATATATATATATATATATATATATATATATATATATATATTGCAAGTTTTGATAATTAGCGCGTTTAAAATTTGCATTAAAAAAAACAAAGCAAATTAAAATAAACAATCTATGAACTGAAAAGAGAATAAAATCCTTAAAATAATAAATATAACAAATATTACCCTTAAAAAGTAAAATATTTAAAGAATGATAAAATAAATAAAGGAAAAATCTTTGTGGTGCAAATTTAAAACTTTAATAAAAAGTTAATACGATACAGGGTGCAACAAATTGACAAATGTGCGTGCATTTCTTTAAGACAGACAGAAAAACAAACGGGTTTCTTTAATTTTACTTATGCAAACGTTGCCGCTTGATTAAGATTTCTCAAAATGAATGCATTACTTTAGAAATTTTTTCAAAATTATTTTGCAACCAATAATTTTTTTATTAATTACAAAAAACACATATTTAAAATGAATAATAATTAATTACAGAGACTTTTTTTTAAAAATGCCAAAACATAGTTAATTTTTTTAATAGCGTCACTTTTAAGTAAAATAACTAAGTACGCTATAGAAAAAAATAATTATGTTTTAGCATGGTTTTTGCATGCGCTCACAAATGTATGCTTCATTTTACTTAAAATAAATGCTTTTGCAAAAACTCTAGAAGAAACCGTCCTTAAACAATTCAATTGCTTTCTTTTATTGAAGAAACCAATCGTAATGTTTAAGCATGGTTTCTTTTCTGTTTTAAGCAATTACATTAAAAGTTTAAAGTAAATGATTTTATTATAAATAAAATAGCGCATGCTTTTTTTTTTAATTTTCTTATTTTCCATAAAGTGAAATAATGTTTGTTTGCATTTTAAAAACACTTTTAAAAGTTTATTTTATTGTACGTTAATCGTTAATTTGCGCGCTTTGCAAATGTGTAAAATAGAAGTTTTTGAAAAATAACAATTTAATAAATTTGCTTATTAACTAGAATAAAAATTATTTAAAATTTGTTTGACATAAATCTCTTAAATTAGACTGTTTCAAGATTATTGTAATTTTTTTTTAAGTAATCATTTTCTTTAGAAATTGCATTACCATGAGAAAACGGTTTCTAATTATTTTTTGATAGCTTCTCTACTCATTTTGTCTTAAACTCTAATCTGAATAATTTTTTCTACAATTACTTTTATTAAGTTGCAATTTTGTGGCAATTTAATTGTAATTAAGGAAATTTTGTGGCAATTTAATTGTAATTATGGAATCACTTAAATTAAAAATCTCATTTACATTTACTTTGTTTTTTTTTTATCGCATTTTTTA